ACACAACTGAGTCAGGTTCAATCCCTGGCACCTCACATGGTCCCCCAAGCACCTCCAAGAGCAAGAGTGATCCCTGAGCACAGATCCAGGAGTAAGCCCTGAGCACTACCAGATGTGGCCCCAAAACAAAACAGAAGCTGGAGGACAGAGGATGTGACTGAGGTCAGGAGGTCGATGGTCAGTGTGCTGAGATTTCAAGCTGGACCCGAGGGCACTGGTCTGGGACATCTGGGGGCAGCTGGCGAGCCAGGGGGTCCTGGCACAATGTCCTGGGGCCAGAGAGATGGTACAGGACGGGGAGGGGAGGGGAGCTTTGCACGCTGCCAGCCTCTGTTCCTTCCCTGGGACCACATGTGACCCCTGAGCATGATCAGCGCTCACTCCTGAGCACAGAGCCAGGAAGGGCCCCTGAGCACTGCCAGGTGTGACCCTCCAAAAAAAGAAGTTCAGGGGCTGGAGCGATAGTACAGCGGGGAGGGCATTTGCCTTGCACATGGCCGACCCAGGTTCGATTCCCAGAATTCCATATGGTCCCCAAGTACCACCAGGGGTAATTCCTGAGTGCAGAGCCAGGAGCAACCCCTGAGCATCACTGGGTGTGACCCCCCCAAAAAAAAGAAAAAAAGAAGTTCAGTGTTCTGCAAGACTGAAGTGGGAGCACATGAGTGCCAGGAGCTGGCAGACCCTCTGCCACCCTGCAGGGTGTCACCAGTCACCTCTGGGGACTCTTCACAGGGAACCCCGGAATAGCCTCCCTCTGGGACGAGCAGGTGACCAGCTCCCCAGCAAGGCGCATCTCAGCCAGACTTTGGGACCCCAGAGTCTGGGGTGGGCGGACACAGTTGTCCAGGAACCCCCGCAGTGGCCTGGACCTCCTCCCCTCCACCAGCTGGTCACCTCTGCATGGCCCGGACCCCTGGCGGAGCTTCAGGGCCAGGCCAGAGGCTGCTCCGTGGGCCCAGGAAGGCCACCCAGGGCCTGGACCCAGAAACTGCATCTCAGCCAATCACAGTGAGATTGGCAGCCTGCTGCAAGGCGTGGGCTGGTCCCCGGGCACTGGGCCCACTGGCCGGAGCAGAAGCTGTCCTGCTTTGGCGCGGAGACTGTGAGGGCTAAGGGGCAGTGGCTTTGTTCACTGTTCACGGTAGCCTGGCACGCAGTTGCAGACTGGCCGCCGAAACCTGGCATGCAGCTGACTCAGTTTCAGTGCCCAACATCCCAGAAGGTCCCCTGAACTGCACGAGGAGTCATCCCTGAGCACAGAGCCAGGAGTCAGCCCCGAGCACCTCCAGATATGTTCCCACCAGTCCCCCACCAAACAATACCCCCCAAATCAGAGAGTGCTGGGGCCCAGCAGGAGAGGGGAATCGCTGGGAAGATAGGTGCCCCAGCATCTGCACCATCTGTGCTCACTGCCCTGTGCTCACTGCCTAGTGCTCACTGGCCTATGCTCACTGCCTAGTGCTCACTTTCCTGGGCTCACTGTCCTGTGCTCACTGCCCTGGGCTCACTGGCCAGTCCTCACTGGCCTGGGCGTCTAGGGCAGCCTCACTTCTGGGCCCAGGATCCTTCTGCAGCTCAGAGGCTGGGGGCATCCAGAGGAAGATCCAGCCCCCGGCACTGGCACTCATGTCCTACAGTGGAGGTCACTGGGCCCTTCTAGGGGGAGAGGAGGAGGCCAGCACAGCACCACAGCCCAGGCCAGCACAGGAACGGGGATCCCAGCGGGAAGTGAGGGGGTCGGAGCGGACCACAAGGGACCCTGTAAATCCTGACTGAAACTCAGTGTTGTCCAAGCAATGGGGAACCCACGAAGGTTTCAAGCTAAGGCGACCGGAGGCCCCCTAGGTTCAGTCCCTGACACCTGATATGGACCCCCGAGCCCACCAGGAGTGGCCTCCAGGTACCATCACTCATGAGAAAAAATAAACCCCAGACTCCACCAGATTGACGGTGGGGGTGGGGGGCTGGTTGGGGGTCGCACCCAGCTGACTCCGGGGTCCTCCTGGCTCCGTGCTCAGAGGATGATGCCGGGATGACGGGACTTCGCTAAACTTCTGTCTTGGGGCCCCGCTGTCGCCTGAGCCAACGCTTCCAGGCAGGGAGCTGGTGTGAGGACAGAGGGCAGGGTTCGAGGGGGCAGCACCAGCAGGGACCTGGTGCCTGGACGCTGAGGCATAGGGCAAAGGGGTCTCAGATGATGATGCCCCAGACTTGGGGTCCTGGGGGGCCGTGAGGATGCACGGGGAAAGGCTGGTGTGGGGGAAAGTGAGCTGGAAAATTTGGAGGTGGATGATCCCAGGGGTCCCGGTGAGGGACAGGCAGGGGGCAGGGGGTCCTGGACACCAGCTGGGTGGCGGGCCTGGCACTGGGCTTGCCAAATCTGTCTCCTCTGCTTTCGAGTCTGCAACTGGAGAAACTGAGGCCCAGAGGGGCGGAGTCACGGGCCGGGAGCAGAGCCCGTGCTCAGGCTGGCTGACTGGGGGCCCCGGAGGGAGGAGGGATGGGGAGGACGCACTGGAGAGGGGGGCACTGGGCACCCCCTCACGCCCTCCCTGTGCCCACCTCGGCAGGGCTGACCCTTGCCCGGGTCAGGGGGGCGCCACGAGGTCCCCTGCAGCCACAGACCCGCCTCCCCCAGCTCCAAGCTGCGGTCACTGCATCATCCATCAACTTCACAGGAGGGCGCCTCGCAGGCCGGGCGATCCGCTCCTTGGCACGCTGAGGTCTGGGTTGGGGCCGGCGGGGGGCTTGGAGCGGGTGGCCGGTGGAGGCTGGAGGTGGCGGCTGGTAGGGGCCGGGGGTGGTGGCAGGACTGTTTAGGGGCCAGAACCACCTCTGCTTTTGCGGGGGTTGGGGGGGCAGGCTCTGACTTGCAGAGGCGCTGGAGGGGAGGCAGCCGAGTCCCCGGCTCCCAGGTCGCCAGGCCAGGCTGGGGCGGTCTCCGCACGACCAGAGCACATGCCAGGTCCACTCCAAGGGGTACAGGGTGACAGGGTGGGCGTGGGCGGTGCCAGCCCAGGTCTGCAGAAGGACTTGGAGACCAGTCTGAGGCTATTCATCCTGCTGCTGTTTTTTTTTTTTCTTTTTGGGTCACACCCGGCATTGCTCAGGGTTTCCTCCTGCTCCGCACTCAGGAATTACTCCTGGCAGTGCTGGGGGGGGAGGGGGGGCACTATGGGATGCCGGGGATTGAACTTGGGTCTGCCGCGTGCAAGGCAAAAGCCCTCCCCGCCCTGCTATCGCGCTGGCCCTGCTGGTCATCTTTCTGGAAGTTTCTAGGAATCTCCTGACAGGCCCTGGTCTCTGCCCTCACACTGGGGAGGCCTGTCCGGGTATGCTGGTCCTTCAGGGGAGGCTGACCACCGAGGACATCCATCCCAGGGTCAGCCTCTCCTGAGCACAGGGAGGAGGCCCCGGCCCCGCCCCCCAGAGCAGGCTGCAGGCAGGGCACACCACCAGCTTTCCCTCTGCTGTCTTCGCGAGCTGCCGCTGGGACCGGAGCGATGGGCCACAGACTGTCCACACTCCGATTCTGTGCCAGTGCCCTGTGGCCAGTCTCTCCCTGCCCGGTACCCCCCGGGCTCCTGTCTGCTCATCCGTGCTGGCTGCCTCTTCACCCACCCAGCCCTGTTGCCCAGGGGTCAGTGCAATGGACACAAGCCACTGAAGACGAGCTGGTGGCGCTTCAGCCTCTCCTCCAGGCAGGAGTGTCCAGGCGTGCTTGCTGGGGAGAGGCCAGTGTCCCACCACCCTGTTCCTGGTCACAGTCATACCCGCTGCCGGATCTCAGGGGCCTCGGGGACGTGGTGCGGGGGGCATCTGGCACAGACGCCGGGTCTGGCCTGTTCTCTCTGGGCCCCGATTCTCTGCAGTCTCCTTGTGCGGGACCCGGGGGATGGTGGGCAGCCTGGCGTGAGCATGACCCTGGGTTCGATCCCTGCATTCTGGAGTGGCCCAGAGGTCAGCAGGAGCGGAGAGCAACGCCGGGTCCCACCAGGCCCCGCCAGGAACGCAGCAGGACAGAACCCTCTGCGCCCCTCATTCCTCACCCCGCTCCTCAGCGCTGGCGGGGGTTCAGCCCTGTCTGGCCCCACAGATCCTGTGACAGCTGGTCCCGTGGTTTCAATTTGGACCACGCAGGGACATGGGGGACAGGCTCTCCTCCCTGGGCAGTGAAGAGCACACAGACTGATGAGTAGCATCACAGGCCAGACGGAGGGGCACACCCGGGCTCACCTGGGCAGGGGGACGAGCCCTCGGGAGGTCTTCGTGTCTGTCCCGGGGCTGGGGCGACAGACGGACACACACTCCGTGGCTTAGAACAACACGGATTTATTCCCGCTGTGCTGGTGCCCTTCCAGGCCCAGTCCAGGATGCTGGCAGGCTCTGGGGCAGAAGCCCCCCTGCTTCGGGGCCTACAGCCCCCCCCCTTCTCCCGTCTCTCCAGCTGCATCTACCAAGGGTCCCTGGGACCACAGGGGCCACCCGGAAACGCGGCAGAGTTACTGTGTCCAGAATCTGAATGACTCCGGCGAAGTTCCTTCCGCCAGGCCAGGGGACAGAGGCAGGTGCTGGGAGCCGAAATGGGCACCCACCCACACTGCCCGCCACCTGTGTTTCGGTTTTCAGGCCACACCCAGCGGTGCTCAGGGCTTACTCCTGGCTCTGTGCTTAGGGATCACTCCTGGCAGGGTTGGGGGTGCCGGGGATCGAGCCCGGCTCGGCTGTGTCAGGCGAGTGCCTCAGCCCAGTACTATGGCCACCCTGCCCTGTGCTATCATCTCGGGGAGGAGAGGAGGGAGAGGGGGGTTGGCGGGGCCCTCCGGACTTTGGATTTCTAGGCTCGAGACACCCCCACCTTCCCTCTCCATTCCATGTTGGATGACAAAAGCCCCTGAAAGGTGCATGGCCCGCCAGGCAGGTAGGTCTGCGGTTGGGGGAAGAGGGTGAGCACACGGGCCTGGCCCCCCTGGTAGAGGGCTGAGGCCCGGCTGGGAGCGGCTCGGAGTGGGGGGTGAGCCCCGGGCCGCGGCGTCCGGGCAGGGGTCCTCGCCGCTACCTCTTGTCCACGCTCTGCATCTGCAGGCTCAGGGAGGTGAAGCTGGCCAGCAGGTCGGTGACCTCATCCACCTGTGGGGCGAGGCGAGGATGCTGGGGGTGCCCGGAGACCCGAAACCGGGTCCGGCCAGCAGTGGCCGCGTTGGGGTGAAGGGGTGGGTTGGGGGTGGGGGTGCTGCCCCCCCCACGCCGGGTGCTCACCTGCTCCCGGGTGCTGGTCATCTGCAGGCGGGAGCACAGGTCGTCCAGGCGGTCCCGCTGCTCGTGCCGCCCCAGGCGCGCCAGGTACTCCCGCAGCATCTGGATGATCTGGGCCGGAGGAGAGCGGCGGGGAGGAGGGGAGCACCGCGCCCCGAGTCTGGCACGGCGGGCGCCCCCCAGGCCCCAGCCCGGTGCTCACCTGCTTCACCTCCAGCCGCACGGCCTCCAGGCACTGGGCGTGGCCCTCCTGCAGGATGTTGAGCTTGGACTTGGCCAGGTGCAGGGGCGTGCGGCCGGCTCGGTCCAGGGCGTCCACGCGGGCCCCTGCGAGAGGGAGCGGCGGAGGTGAGCGGGCAGGGGGGGGCTGTCGGGGCGGAGACGGGAGCAGGGGGAGGGGCGGGGGGCAGGGGCAGGGGGCAGAGGCGGGGCGGGGGCGGGAGGGACAGGGAGGGGGCAGGGGGGCGGGAGCTGGGCGGGGGCGGGCCGGGGGCGGGGCTGGAGCAGGGGAGGGGCGGGGCTGGAGCAACGGCGGGGGCGGGGGCGGGGCCGGGGCGTGGGCGGGGACAGGGAGCCCGGCGGGGGCGGGGCGGGGGCGCGGGGCGGGGGCGCGGGGCGCACGTACCTCCGCGGAGCAGGGTGGTGATGACGGGGACGTGGTTGGTGCAGGCCGCTGCAGAACGGCAGGAAGTGAAGGGCCGGGCCGCGGGGGGCCGCGCGGGGGCCGCCCCCGGAGAAGGCGCGACCGCGGCCGCCGCCGCCCCCAGCCGTGGCCCCTCCCTCGCTCCCCGGCGCGGGCGGTGGGGGCTGGCGGCCGGCCCCGCCCCCCGAGCACCCTTGGGCGGGAGGCGCCGCTGCTCTCAGCCGGGCGGGTGCTCCCCGAGGTGCTCCCTGCGCTCGTCCTGGCCGGGCTCGCTCGCTCTCGCCTCCGCGGGGCGCCACTTACCCAGGTGCAGGGGCGTGTTCCCCAGCCCGTCCCGCTGGTTGGGGTCGGCCCCGTGGTCCAGGAGCAGCTGCACTGCAAGCAGAAGCCCCCGCGGGCCGTGAGAGCCGGGTGGGGGGGGCACCGGCGGGGCGAGCGGCCTGCTCGGGTGGGCCCCCGGGGGCGCGCCTGGCAGTCGGGACCCGACGCTGCCCCGCGGGACCCCGGGGGACCCGGGCAGGAAGGGGCCTGAGGCAGCTCCTGCCGCTGGGGCCCGAGGTGGCGCCCCCCCCCACCCCCCACCGTGTCCAGGCGGTCCCGGCCCCGCGGGTCGGGGGTCCCCACTCACCGATGCGGTCGTTGCCGTTGCAGGAGGCGAAGTGCAGGGCGGTGCGGCCCTTGTCGTCGGCCGAGCAGGGGTCCGCGCCCTCCTCCAGCAGACGCTGCACTGGCGGCCCAACGGGGGGTGGGGTGGCATCAGCGCCCAGCCCGGGGTGGGGGAGCCCAGGACCCGCGACTAAGGGGTCATTCTCCCCGGCGGGGGGGGGGGGTAGTGTTCGTGACCTGTCGGGGGTGAGCTCGGGGCTGGGGGGCAGAACCCAGAATGTTCCGCACCAGGGACCCGGCCAGGTTAGATCCCTGGTGCCCGATCTGGTCCCCTGGTCCCCTGGGCACAGAGCCAGGAGTAACTCCTGAGCACAGCCAGGTGTGGCCCCAAACGAAAACCAAATTGTTTCTCCCCCTTGGAGGAGCCTCAGAGGCGCCCGGAATGGGACCCGTTACCTCCCGGCTGGCGGCTTCTCGCCGTGGCCTCTCTCGGGGCTCCTGGGGCAGCGCCCAGACTAGGAGGCGCAGGCAGCCGTGGACACTAATGGACAGGAAATGACTTCTCCGCAGGGACGGGAGCATCATTACCAAATTGGCGGTGGTGGGGGGGGGGGGGTGAGTGTGTGCTGGGTCGTAGTTTAGAGAAAACGCTGCCGTCTCCTCCCCAGCAGAGCTCCCAAGGGCCTGCACGCGGCCTCCCGGGAGGCCTAAGCGCCCACCCCCACCGGGTCCTGGTCCAGGCTGGAGGCTCTGGATGGGCACTGCCCAGCCTGCCCGGCCCAGGATACCCTCTGGCTCCATCCCTGAGGCCCGGGGGAAGGGTCTCTGCAGGCCAAGCCTGGCGGGGTTCCCTGGCCCCCTTTCCCCGGAGCCCCTGGGAGCCAGCACCGTTCTACTAACATCAGCCACTACCGGAAGCTGAATCCGGGCAGGCGACCAGGGGGGCCTCCGGGCACCCCAGGGCACAGCCACTCACTCCCCTAAAGGCCGGCAGGACAGAGCCGGGGCACCAAGGCCAGCTCCACCCCATGCTGGGCGTGGGTGGAGACCCTCTGGGGGAGCACTTCAGCAACGAAGACCCACACCGGTCGGATGGGGGGCCCCAGGTGGGGGACACTGAGCAGTTGTGTGGACACACTGCACGTCCGGGGGCAAAATCGACTCTGTCCCATTCCCACAGAGGCAGGAGGGGGTTGACGTGACCATGCTGAGGGCCAGGAGGTGGCTCGGGGTGACACGTGTGACTGCCAGTGTGAGAGCCTTGGCTCCACCCCAATACCTGAACTGTAAAGTCTCTGGTCAGGGGGTCCGAGGGATGGTACAATGGGTTGGCCACTTGCCTTGCACTTGGACAACCCAGGTTCGATCCCCAGCATCCCCGGAATGGTCCCCTGAGCCTCACCTGGACTGATTCCTGAGTGTGGAGCCAGAAGGACCCCCTGAGCACCGTTGGGTGTGGCCCCAAAATATACATATATATGTATATGTGTATATGCTGGCAAATATAATTTTTTTCCTTTTTTTTTTCCCGGGGTGAGGGGGCACCTCGCTGCAGTGTCAGGGATTAAACCAGGTTGGCTACATGCACGGTAAGTGCCTTCCCAGTTATACTAGTATCTGTAGTTGGTTTGTTTGTTTTGCTTTTTGGGTCACACCCGGCGATGCACAGGGGTTATTCCTGGCTTGTGCTCAGGGGACCATATGGGATGCTGGGAATCGAACCTGGGTTGGCCGCTTGCAAGGCAAACACCCTAGCCACTGTGCTATCACTCCAGCCCCTAGTGCTCTGTAGTTGGAAATCAGTCGTGTGGGGTATTTTTTGTTTGTTTGTTTATTTTGTTTTTCTGCCACCCCAAGTGATCTTCAGGGCTAACTCCTGGCTCTGTGCTCAGAGATCACTCCTGGCAGGATGCAGAGATCAAACCAGGGTTAGTCGCATGCAAGTGAAGCACCTTCTCTGCCGCGCTATCTCTTTGGCCCTTATTTTTAACTTTTCTGGGAAAAGCAATCTAGGTTGCTGTTCAAATATTCCCCGCACTGGGTAGATGACTCAAAGGGCTGGAGCGCATGCTCTGACCCTCAACACCGCATGGTCCCTCTCAGGCTGGGTGGGGCCCCCTCACCCCCCAAAAAAACAAATCAAAACAACCAGTATTCCATATATAGGTATTTATATATTTTTTGGTTTGGGGCCACACCCAGCAATGCTCAGGGGGACCATATTACTCCTGGGAGTGCTTGGGGGACCATACGGGATGCTGGGGATCGAACCTGGGTCGGCCACGTGCAAGTCAGAAGCCCTCCCCACTGTGCTGTCCAGTTCATGGAAAAGAGCAAGTGGAGAGCTAGAGTGTCCACTGCTGGGGCAGCTCACTGGGGCACGTCCAGCTCCTGGAGGTATGCAGGGCACCCCCCTTCTGCATACCTTCTCTGTCCCCACCCAGCGTTAGAGCCACTCGGCAGCTCACCTGTTTCCACGTCGTTGGCATTGGCTGAGTCCCTCAAGCGCTTCAGAGCTGTGAAGAGGGTAGGGAGGTCAGTCAAGACCACACATCCAGGGGGCCGAAGCAATAGTCTAGCGGGGAGGGCATTTGCCTTGCACGTTGCCAATCTGGGTTCGATTCCCAGCATCTCATATGGTCCCCCGAGCACCGCCAGGAGTAACTCCTGAGTGCAGAGCCAGGAGGAACCCCTGTGCATCGCCAGGTGTGACCCAAAAAGACACCCCCCAAAAAAAAGACCACACATTCAGGGGCTGGGCCTGGGGTGGTACCGTGGGCCGGGCACCTGCTTTGCATGTAGAGACCCACAGTTCCATCAGAGTGGCCTAGAGTTCCAAGCACTTCCGGGTGTAGACCCCCTCCCCCCCCAACAGTAAAGGAGGGGTTGCAGAGACAGCACAGCAGGTAGTGTGCTTGCCTTGCATGTGGCCAACCTGGGTATGATCCCCAGCACCCCACAAGTCCCCACCCCCCACCCCCAGCAACACCACGAATGATGCCTGAGTGCAGAATCAGGAGTAACCCTTGGGAATCGCTGGGTGTAACGGTTCTAGATTTCAATGAATTATGGAAGAATTCCAAACGACCGCAGAAAGGGCAGGGAGAGACTGGTCAGAGGGCTGCGTGCACACCTTGCAGCGCGGCAGGAGGGGGTTTGATCCCGGACACTGCAAGGTCCCCCAACACTGCTGGGCGCAAACCCGAGCAGAGATGGGAGTAGGCCCAAGCGCCAGAGGTCCGAAACGCCCCCCCACCAAAAAAAACACCCAAAACCTACCAGGTCCTGCACCAATGTCTGTGGCGCATGCATAACCATTCCGCGTATTCATCCCCTCCTTAATGCTCACGACATCCTATGCAAAGTGCTCCCTGCACCCATTTTACAGGTGAGGACAGGGAGGCTACTCGCTCTCCTTAAGGCTGGACCTGAGGTTGCGCAATCCAGTCTGAGCTCGGAAAGGAGTCGGGGGGGGGGGGGGGGGGCGAGGAGGGGGGAAGCGCTGGCTAGCGGTCCAGCTCAGGGATGCGCACAGCATCCTCCCCACCTTTTGTTTTTTTAAACCTACTCACCGCCCCCGGGGCACGAAGCAAGGTCCCTAAGCTCCCGCTTAAGTTCCTAAGCTCGCGCTCAAGCCCGGGGCGGGGGGTCCCCGGGATGGCGGGGGTCGGGGGGGGGTCCCGTGCTCACCGTGCGCCTCCCGGCCGGTGGGCCCCGCGCGGCGATGCGCGCGCGCGCGCCGCAGCCGGCCGGCGGGGACCTTGCCGCGCAGCTCGTCGCGGGGCTCGGCGTCCTGCTGCCACAGGACGTGCAGGTAGCGCAGCGGGGACTGGGCCCCGCCGGACGCCCGGCCCGCCAGGCCCGCGCCGCCGTCCAGCGCCGAGCCCAGGTCGGCGAAGGAGAAGAGGCCCTCGGCGCCCGTCAGGGGCTCGGGCGCCACCGCGCACTCGCCCTCGGAGCTCGAGCGGCCCGAGCGCGGCTCGTCGTCCGCGCCCCCGGCGGCGGCTGCCATGGCAACGAGCCGGCGCGGGCCGGGCCGCCGAGCCTCGCTCCCGACCCGCCAACGACGGGCCCGCGTCCCTCCGCCCCGAGCCGCGCTGTCAGCCGCCGAGCGGGCGGGCCCCCGGCCGGCAACCACGGCAACCGGGCGGGGGCGGGACCGGGAGCGCGCAGGGCCAATGAGGGCCCTCCGGCCCGGGCCCCGCCCACCGCGGGGGCACGGCGCGGGCGCTGGCATTGGCCGCCGGCCACGTGACTGACGGAACCAGAGGCCAATCGCTCGCAAGGGCTGTCCCCGCCCTCCTCGTACGGCGCTACGGCAGCGAATGAAACAACTTTCATTCTTTCCTCTTTTCGACTATTTCCCCGACCCGTCGGATCATGGGAAAGATAACGGACAGATGCCTGAGCCAATCAAATCAAGATGTTCTGCAGCCAATCACAAAGAAGCCACGCTGGGGCGATGGAGGATTTGGATCTATTCTAATCAATGAACGTAGTTGGAAAACCACACACACGCACACACACATAAACACACGCACGCGTATAAAAAAGCAGGGAAATGAAGTCGATTTCCACTATGATAGATCTCTAGACTTCTTTTTATTATTATTTTTTTTTTTAGAAAGTTAACTTTATTTTATTTTTGCTTTTTGGGTCACACCCGGCAATGCACAGGGGTTACGCCTGGCAGTGCTCGGGGGACCACATGGGATGCTGGGAATCGAACCCGGGTCGGCCGCGTGCAAGGCAAACGCCCTTCCCGTTGTGCTATCTCTCCAGCCCGCAGGTCTCTAGACTTCTTGATCTCTGATTTACAAAGGATTACAGTGCAGCGAATTCACACAGTCCCAAGCCGCACTGAGTATTTAGTGACTCAGACAGCCACTCACTGAGGCAGGTTACGCTCTGACCCCGTGCTCCAATATCAGACAACAGTTTGGTAACCCCTTTCGGTTCAGAGTTTTCTACGTATTTTCACAACCCTAGGGGCGGGACTCGCGCCTTACACATGACCCATCGGGGTTCTATTCTCTGTGTTCCATATGGTCCCCCAAGCACCATCAGGAGTGATCCCTGAGTGCAGAGCCAGAAGTCAGCCCTGAGCTAGATCTGTGTGATTTAACCCTTCAACCACCCACCCTTTTACACCACAGACACGTCTATAAGGCAGGCAGAGTCATCATTCTTTTTTTTTCTTTTTTAAATTTTTATTAGTGAAACACCATGAGGTACACTTGTAGACTTACAAACTTTTGTGCTTAGTTTCAGTTATACAGTGATCGAGTACCCATCCCTCCACCAGTGCCCATTCTCCACCACTACTGATCCCAGTATCCCTCCCACCCCACCATCCCCCCATCCCACCCTGCCTCTGTGGCAGGGCATTCCCTTTTGTTTTCTCTCTCCTTTTGGGTGCTGTGGTTTGCAAAAGAGGCATTGAGTGACAATCATGTTCGGGACCCATTTCTTACAAATTTTTGTGCTTGGGTTTCAGTTATACATGATCGAGTACCCATCCCTCCACTAGGACCCATTCTCCACCACCACTAATCCCAGTATCCCTCCCACCCCCATCCCCCCCATCCCACCTTGCCTCTGTGGCAGGGCATTCCCTTTTCTTCTCTCTCTCTCGTTTTGGGTGCTGTGGTTTGCAAAAGAGGCATTGAGTGGCAATCCTGTTCGGTCTATAGTCTACTTTCAGCATGCATCTCCCATCCTGGGCGGATCTTCCCAACACCCTTTATTCGGTGTTCCCTTCTCTATCTGAGCTGCCTTTTCCCCTAGTATGTGCGGCTGGCCTCCAAGCCATGGAGTAAATCTCCTGGTATTTATCTTGGCCATTCTTGGGTGTTAGTCTCCTATTTTGTTACTTTATGTTCCCCAGATGAATGCAATCTTTCTGTCTGTCCCTGTCTTTCTGACTCATTTCGCTTAGCATGATACTTTCCATGTAGTACCACTTGTATGTAAATTTCACAAAGTCATCACTCTTAATAGAAGAAGAACTGAAGCCAGAAAGCTTTGTCTTACTCGTGGGAGGGCCCCCCCCCAAAGGGTTATTCTCTTGTCCCGCAGAAGCTCAGGGTTGCAGCCCATGTTTTCCAGGTGGAGGCTGGGTTCCATCCCACACTGAGCTGGTAGAGGCTGCCCAGTAGCCCCCCAATCAGCACCACCTGGATGGGTCCCCGAAGGAGAGGAGAAAGAAGCCAAGACCAAAAACAAAGCTTGACTTTTCTCTGTCTGGAAGCACTTTTAAATTTTGCAATTGTAACTGTCACTGTCCTCCCATTGTTCATAGATTTGCTCTAGCGGGCCCAGTAACATTGTGAGGCTTGTTACTGTGTTTGGCATATTGAATATGTCACGGGTAGCTTGCCAGGGTTTGCCGTGCGGGTGAGATACTCTCGGTAGCTTGCCGGGCTCTCCGAGAGGGGCGGAGGAATCGAACTCAGGTTGGCCATGTTGGCTTCCGTGCAAGGCAAACGCCCTACCCACTGTGCTATCGCTCCCGCCCGCAATTGTAACAAGCTGGAGAAATAGTTCAAGGGGCTGAACAAGGGCCCTGGGCCACCAGAACGCAGAGCCTGGAGTAGCCACTGAACCCAAGTGAGGCTCCAAAAAAAGCATAAACTTTTGTTCATTGTACTTTTATGTTTGGGTCTTGTGTTGTGTCCAGGGCTAATCCCAGGGCCTCCCACGTGCCAGGCAGTGCTCAACTGTGAGCTATATCACAGACCTTGCTAAAGCACATTGAGAAAAGTGTTCACTGAACTCTCCTCCTCTGCCCCTTAAGGACAAATGACAAATGCCACTGTTTGTAGCTGGAAAGAAACATTGGCCATATAGGACCAGCGAGATAGTACAGTAAGACACTTGCCTTGATCTCTAGCAAGCAATATGGTCCGCTAAGCACCAATAGGAGTGATTCCTGAGTGCAGAGCCATGAGTCCTGCACACACACCTTTAGGTGTGACCCAAAACCCCAAACAAAAAGGAACAAAACATTGGCTAAATATCCTTTGCCATTTGCTTGGGCAGTGTATCTGTGTGTGTGTGTGTGTGTGTGTGTGTATGTATTATACAGTGTGCAGATCAGGAAATTGGGGTCCTTGAGATGTTACAGAAACTACCTGAGAGTATGGAGGTAATAGTAAGTGGGTAGGGTGTTGGCTTTGCATGCATACAATCTGAGTTCAATCCCTGGCACTGCATACGGTCCCCCGAGCCCACCAAGAGTGATCCCTGACTGCAGAGCCAGGAGTAGGCACTGAGCATTGCTGAGCGTGTCTCCAAACGAAATGGAACAAAATGAAAAGGGCAAGTAGGGAAGATCTGGTTGTTTTCTACTTTTTTGGTTGGTGGGCTCCTCCCTGAGGTCACTTCCAGTTTGAATTCCTGTAGCCTGAGCACCTGCTGCCCCCCACTCCCACCCCGTGCCCCCTCCAGGGCCCAGGCTCAGCTGCCCTGCTCTGGAGACAGAAACTTGCAGGACAGCCATGAACTGGAAACTGAAGAGCAGTCTTGGGAAGCTGAGCTTCAAAGCAACCGGGGGAGTCCTTAAGCTCCACCTAACGGCCTTTTGGCGCCACGATTTCCTGCCTCAAATCCCAGGCTACATAAGATCAAAAGTTCAAGTGCAGCTTTTCGGCTCTAAATCCTCACAGCCTCTCTCCCAGGTAAAATTATTCCCAGAGCCTTGGTCAGCTCACAGCTTCTCATGCTTTCAAGGTCAGCTTGGCCTCAAGCTGGGGAGTGTTTCAAAACCACTCACCCCCGCATGCAGACATTGGGGAGTCTAAATGGGCTTTCAGGAGCTTGGGGTGGGGGCAGAGGGGTATTTGAAAACAGACTTAATGTGTTGCCAAGCAAATCCATGGTCAGAGGTTCTATGCAATTCTCTGAATGGAGATAGGGAGAAATTGTATTCATTTATTTTTGGATTTGGAGGTCACAGCCAGCAGTGTTAGGGGTAGGGGGGATGGGGGGTGGGGTGATGTCCTATCAGGGATCAAACCTGGATCTCCTGCATGCAAAGCCTGTGGTCAGCCTGGTAAGTTATCACTTTGGTAGTACTTTTTTTTTCATTTTGGTCCACTTGCTGCAATTTTCAGGGGTTCTTAAGGACCTTGTTGGAGGGAAGTGGGTACTCTCGTGGTTTTGGGTGTGGGGTTGAAATGATGTATATGGACAATATTGGAAATCACAGTACTTCAATAAAGATTTTTTTAAAAGAACAATAATGAGGATGAATAAATATGTTTAGAAAAATTGTTTAATTCAACGGGGAGAAATGAAAAGGTGACAAGTAAAATCCAGATATGGATGTTAATTATCCTATTATTTATTTTCACATATATATAAAACTATGCATGTTAAAGCTTTGGGGACTGGAGAGGTAGTATTGGGGTTACCGTGCTTGCCTTGCATGCAGCTGACCTTGGGATCAGGAGCACCAAAGGCTCCCCAGAACACTATACAGAGGAAGTTCCAGCAGAAGTAGGTGTAGCACCCCCCAACTGCCTCCCATAGATTAAATATACTTTTTTTCCCCATTTTCCTTTTTGGGTCACATCCGGCAATGCTCAGGGGTAACTCCTGGCTCTGCACTCAGGAATTACTCCTGGCGGTGCTCAGGGGACCATATGGGGATGCTGGGAATCGAACCTGGGTCAGCCGCATGCAAGGCAAACACCCTACCCGCTGTATAATTGCCCTCACCCCAATTAAATATACTTTGATCTTTTTTTGGGGGGAGGGCTCACCTTTGTGCTCAGAGCTAACTTCTGGCTCTGCACTCAAAAATCACAGGGCAGAGTGGTGTTGGGGGGGGGGACCGTATGTGATACCTAGGATAGAATCTGGGTCAACTGTGGGCGAGGCAAATGCCCAACCTGTTCCACTACTGCTTGAGCCCCCACTCTCATCTTCTCCTAATATGAGAACAATTTTGTATCATTTTCCGTGAGACTGGAGAGATAATTTAGTCTTTCTCCAGCATGTTATATAAAGATTTTCATTTTGGGGACCGGAGAGATAAGCAGGTAAGCTGCTTGCTTTGCATAAGGCAGAGCTGGGTTG